AGGAACCCGGCTAAAGGGAGACCATCATGCGACACAAGCAGGGTACTGTACAGGGTAGAGTGGTAAGAGAGTGGCGACGTCTGAAGTAGGCAGAGCTSATCRTGATGAAGTCCATGAAGCCGCCGATGACGTCCACGATGAGAAGTCCGGAATGCCGTCAAGGAAGAGCCGCAGCGTCGACGAGCTGAAGTAGCAAAACTGATGTGGATGGAGTACTGAGAAGTCAAAGACGTGGGAAGGTAAGTCAGAGTCAATCGTCGTATCGAGCAGGACGACGACGAGTGCGCTGTGGACGCTCAGAGGCATCCGGCTGCTGCTGAAGGTCTGCCTCAGATGGAGCAGGCTCGACTTCAGCGGTCTCCTAAGCCGGAGGAGAAGGAGGAGGGTCAGTGGGCTGAGGAGGAGCAGTGAACCCAGCATGACGAGCACGGTCATAGGCACGCACCAACATGCGAGCGTGCTGCAAGTGCTCGAGGGGCTCCCAGGTAGCCTCCTCATCAGGGTAACCCTTCCAACGTACGAGATACTCGACGCGGGGAAGGTTGTCGTCGGTGACTCGGCGACCAATGATGTCTGAAACGAGGAACTCCTCGTGGCCGTCCACCATGATGGGTGGAGGGCGCTCATATGGTCGTCCAGCGAAACGCTCAGACGGTCTGCGGTAAGGACGCAGTAACGAGACGTGGTAGACATCATGCACACGAGCCTGGCGTAGGTAGTCGGGCAGCTTCACACGAAAGCTGACCGGGCTAGATGCCGTATCAGAACCGACGGCCTGGAGGATGCGGCATGGGCCAAAGATGCGACGCTGAAACTTGCGAAGCGTGCGCGCTTCGAGCTGTAAGTGGAGGGCGTCGATAAGCACATTATCACCGACCTTGAATGGGTGATCCATCCGCGATCGGTTCGCACGTGCTGCCATGCGAGTCTGGGAAGCGGCTATGTGCTCATGTGCGGTCTTCATAATCGACGTCATGTGTGCAACCCAATCATCCAGCGCGGGACAACTCGTGTCGGGGTGCATCTGGGATGGTCGACGGAAGTCCGCGGGAACACGCGGGTGATAGCCGAGGTCGCAATAGTAAGGCGACATCCCCGTGGCTGGCGAGACGGCGTGGTTGTAGGCTATCTCCGCATGGGCAAGATGGAGATCCCACTGCTGGTCGTCACGAACAATCTTTCGGAGAATATCCCTGAGAGTCTTGTTCGTGATCTCGGTCTGAACATCAGTTTGAGGATGGTAAGACGAGGGGAAGCGGACCTGAGTGCCGTACACCTCGTGGAGCCGTCGCCAGAATCGGCTGGTAAAGCGCGGGTCACGGTCAGATATGATGCTTTGAGGTAAGCCGTGGTCACGCACAACTCGGTCAAATACAATGTCGGCGACCGCACGTGCACTGATGGCATAGCGGCACGAAACAAAGCGTGCACGCTTCGTGAAGCGGTCGACGACGACCAGGATAGCATCATGACCGCGGGGGTCGGAGGTCGAAGAGGACCGATAAAGTCCATCGAGATGGACTGCCAACGACCCTCAGGGATAGGAAGAGGCTGGAGCAAACCATAAGGTAGGTGGTTCGCACTATTCACCTCCTGACAGGTGGGACACTCTGTGACGTAGTCCTTCACAAAGTCCTTGCGCTTCGGCCAGACGTATAGGCGGCTCACACGAGCCAACGTCTTGTGGAAAGCCATATGACCGGCAACTGCCTGGTCATGGAACTCTGCTACTGCTCGGACACGTAGCTGTCCAGTGGAGGGAACACAAATACGGGGCTCTCTGGTGCCCTGTGAACCGTGCCAGTGTCCTCGAGAGAGTATTTCGGGACGGTCTTGCCACTCCGAAGGGTCGCGTGGATGTCGCGATAGTCGGGGCAGTGGCGGTACTGAGTGCGAAACTCGACGATCACCGAGTGGTGGACGGTGCTGACCGAGATGGAAGAGAGCTGGATGTGCTCCTGGTCGTGGTCAGGGCGCCGGGATAGGGCATCGGCGACCCGATTAGTCTCACCCTTGATGTGCTCAGTGGTGAAACTAAACTCGGATAGGTCGCGCCACCAGCGAGCCTGTTGAGGAGT